AAAGCACAATACAGCATTTTTACAGTTTTAATGTTTGTAAATTCAGACGACATTCGTATAACAAAACCTAGAGCTTTTCTGGCTTTTGAGACTATTGAATCAATATGATTCTCAAATGTAAGCTTAGAATCAAAAATCACTCCAAGGTCCCGCATATAGTTAGTCCTGTTAAGTATATTATTCTGAATACTATAATTAAATTTAATGACTTTAGGTTTTCTTGAAAACGAACAGACGAAACATTTTGAAATATTAAGGTTTAATTTATTTTTAATGCAATAAGATTGAAACCTGTTAAGGTCTTCTTGCAATCGAGTACAATCTGAGATTGATTTGATTGGGCATAAAATTTTCATATCATCCGCATAAAGAAATATTTTACTGTGAAAAAAATTAGAATATATATCGTTCGTAAATATCGTAAATAACAAGGGACCCAAAAGTGATCCCTGAGGTAATCCAGAAGGTATTAAGAGTGGGGTAGACTGATAACCATTGAGAACAACGATTTGACTCCGATTCTCAACATATGAGCTGAACCAGCGAAACAGGTTACCGCGTATACCAATCATTTGCAATTTTTGTAAAAGTACGACATGATCTATCCTATCGAAACATTTGCTATAATCAGTATACACGACATCCACTTGATAGCCCGCTGCCATGTGTTCGGAAATGTAGTTTTCACAAAGCAAGAGATTGGTGGTAGTAGATCGACCTTTTAAAAAGCCATGCTGTGAATCACTAAGACTTTGTCTTATAGCAGAATATACTTGAGAATAGACAATTTTTTCAAGGACTTTCGCGAAAACACACAATTTGGAGATTGGTCTATAGTTTTCTATCTGATGTTTGGGGCCTTTTTTGTGGATAGGCGTAACAAATACTGATTTCCAGAGATTTGGTACTTGTCCAGACGAAAGAGAAAAGTTGAAGAGATAGGCTAATGGGGTTACAAGGCTGTTGGCGAGTCTAATAATAAATATCGGGGGGATCTTATCTGGCCCTGCACTTTTGTCAGGGTCTAAAGTCTTTAAAATATTGAGAAGAGCAAAATTATTTATATATATATCATTTAAATCAGCTCCTTCACTTGTGGTAGGCGTAGGAGGTGCATTATTGGTATCAGAGCTAGTTTGTTGGAAGGTGGAGTAAAAGTACTGCGCAAAAAGATTGCAAATCTCATTGCCATCACGAGAGGTATTATTCTCTAAGCACATAGTAGATGGAAGGATATTACTTCCCCTTTTATTTTTTACATAAGACCAAAATGCCTTAGGATTCTTGCCTATGTTCATTTCTATAGATTTTAAATATTTATTGTAACACAATTCTTCTAATAATTTAGCCCTTTTTCGTAACAGAGAGAATGATATATAGTCAGAGTGATTATTATATTTGATATATTTTTTATGAAATTTATTTTTTTCTTTAATGATTTTTATTAATGTACTATTATACCATTGCGGATAATTATGACTCAGGGGGCCTATTTTAATAGGAATAAATTTATCTATTAAATTGTGTAACAGTGCATAAAATTTGTTTATGCATTGATCGAGCGATAACATTGAAAAGAAGGTTTCAAAGTTAATTTTATTAATATTTTCGGCAATAGACCTGTAATCCCCTTTGTGGAACAGATGTATAGATCGTGCTGCTGGCTTTAGAGGTCTCTGGTGCTCCAGTGATAATATCACTAGGAGTGCAGGGTGATACAGATCGGCCGGTACTAACGGATCGACACGTTTGACTTGAATAAGATCGTAGTTACTAAATATTAAATCAAGAATTCTGTCGTTACAGTTAAGCTCATTATTAAATTGATTCAAATTACATAAATATGTGTTATCAAAAAATATGTTCTGATAAGACCCAAGTATATTTGCGGGAACCAAATGATCCTCATCTGAAGAGAATGACCAGACTATATTAGGCATATTAAAGTCACCCACCAGTAAATAAAAATCATTTGGATTGCTTAAATTAATATCACTGAATCTATTTGAGAAGTTTACGAGTTGAGTAGCCATTGAGTTACCTTGTCCCTGTGAGCATACATAAATGCAACATATATGTAGTTTGCATACATTTCCACGCTGTGGGTTCCGTAAGTTAATAGATACCCATAGATCTTCAGCAGACGAGTTCCACTCGGCACGAGTCTCCACAGCAAGTTCGCGCTTAATTGCAATAAGTACACCACCACCCAACGATTGCCCGGTTACAGAGTAGTTCCTATCTCGTCTATATACTATGTATCTACTGTCGAATAATTCGCTATCAAAAATACTGTCCGTCAGCCACGTCTCGGTCAGTGCCACCACGTCATAAGAGCTAAGAAGGATATTTCTATAAAAAATATTGACCTTCGTGCGCAATCCCCTCACATTCTGGTAGAAAACACTAAGTGACGCCATTATTAACCGTAGTTATAGTTAAATATGCAAATAAATAAGCAGTACCACGAATGAAATTTAAAATATAAAGATAAATTGAATGTTTCGTTTGAATTGGATAATTTAAAACAAATAAAATCACTATAGTTTCACAATTAGGGCACTCACAGCGTATTTTTTTTAAACTCGACAGCCAATCAAGCACCGAAAAGATAAAAAATAGGTAAAGCAAGAAATTAACAATAATAAATTGATGCAATGCGAAGTGATAAGAAGCGCGCGTATAAAGCGGGTGGCGGGCAAGGCGTGCAGTGAAGCTGGATCGAGCCGAGCTGTGCGCCGCGTCGCATGCAGTCACGCGGCCTGGAACGTGATCGGCGGTGGGGTCCGCGCCACTGGCTCTCAACATTTTCGCTTGCATAATACTCTTGATATATTGCTCCAAACAACTTGAGAAGATTATTTCATCTTGTGTAGGTCTGCCTCGGAACTTATAATGATAATAGGAGAAGAAGTGTTCTTCCTTAAAAAAATCTTACAACTTCGGACCCATACGTATTTATAGCTACGTTCTGTGGCAAACTCTTTCGTTTTATTCAAAAGCATTTTATTGTCTAAAGTTAAATGATCATTAACGTAAACTTTTGAGTCACTTGTGAATCCTAAGTCTGTTGCCGAGAAATTGCGTTTGGCTCTAGCACAGGATATAAAATTTTCCTTTAAATATCTGTTGTTAAAAGATGCTATGATATTCTTACTTTTGCTGTTGTTACGGCTTGGCACTCTAAATATATAATTAATGTTGCTTTTTTCGATTTTGCAATCAACGGTAGATCCTATCTTGGCTATTATTTCATATAGGTTTTCCGAATCTTTAAATGGAACTCCTTTCACTTCCACGTTATTTAAACGATCCATTTGGTCTTTTTGCTTAAGTGCGCTTTCTAGAAATTCTATACGTTGATGCAACACAGGCGAGTCCTCTTTGCTATTTTCAACAATCTTCAATCTTTTGTCTATATCAGATATTTGATCATTACAAACATTTACAGAATCTTGGGTGAACTCCAGAGATAGTTTTAGTTCCTGGATTTCGTCCTTTATGATCTTCATATCTTGAGGTAGACCCGATAGCGCCGCCATATTCTGAGACAGCTTTTTGATTTCAAGCATGATACTCTCTAAGCTGACGGGAGTGGGAGACGATGGAGCTGGCTGCACATGGAGTTTGGAATTGTTGTTGCTGGTTTTGCAGGTAGGACACTTCCAATTTCCTTTCCGGTCCCCAAGTTTTCGGTAACCTGTTTCTGTTATACCTGCGCAATCAAAGTCGAAATCTTTGCTGCAAATGCTGCATCGTGCCACGTCCCGGGCTTCGGAGTTACAACCGGCACAGGTAAACATTTTAGCTTCTGATGTTTGAGAAACACTGGTTTAAACAAGATGATGTAGCCGAGTAAGAGGAGGCACATCCGTCGCGATCAAGCACACCGGCCGAACTGATTTCACAGAATCGAATATTAGAGGCATATATGGGTTAATAGCTAATCACTGGTGTCTATTAGTTTATGTATCATGAAGTTTGCAAGTTAGTTTGTGGGAAGTAACCTGGAACGACTGAACTGTATAAATTCACCAGTATAAGTGAAAAAAGCTTCATTTTGACGTTAAAATAAATTTCCTTGATGCTGAAGGGTGAGAAAGGGACTATTGCCAGACTAAAGCTGAACATGTAATTTTATTATTATATTTACTTTCATATTAGTTAGCGTAATGCAATTTTTTATAATATAATGGAATTAGTTACAGTAAACAGTCACAAAAACTTATTATTTAATAACAATACTTGAATGGGCAAAAAGAAAACTTCTATTATTGGTTTAAACAAACTATAAATCTCTTTTGTATTACATGTTTAGAAATAAGTAATGTCTAGTGAACATGACATTCTACAGAATTCTATGAATAAAAAAACCGTTTTGAATACCCTCACAATGTTGTTAATGTTATCTTAACACAATACTAATTATGTTAGAGTCATCATCATACTCAAGCTTTATCACATTTAGTGGACATCGTGGTATCTATAGTCAAGAACAAAGTACCTAACCCTTGATATATTGTTAAACACTAAATAAAAATAAATTGAACCAATTTGGTTGATCTTAAATTCTGTTCAATAACAAGGACAATTAATAACAAATAAATTTGCTACCAAATGATTCATCTGAATGAGTCATTGAAACACATGGTAACCTAACAAAGACTTCAAGCTAAATTAGCCAATATAAAAAAAATGATTTCTTTTCTACTTTATAGTTTTAATTGATTTATCATTTACAAAGAGTGTTTTTCTAGTTTCAATTAATAAGGTACTTAACCTGAATTGAAACTACCTGCTTTCTTTGTGCAAAATAAATCTTTACCTACATACAGTCAATAAAACGTTATACCACATGACCTACTTAGGTGACATTTTATGTTCTGGGGAAACTGCAACCTCCACGAACAAATCACGGTCAAGGTGTTCAAAATTAACTGTTTATGTGACCTTTTCAGGGTAACTTCATACATGAAAAAAATTAGTAGGTGGGTACGTACCTCTTTTTCTGGTCTTGATCCGTTGACCCGATAATACTGGTTTTTCTACCTTCTGACTCATACAATATATTGCTGAAACAAAAACACGTGGCAATTAGGATAATGGTATCGTGAAAAGGTGGTACCCGTTAGGTACATGTAAGGTCATCGCCCCGCGCTGCGCCACGCAACTCGCAGCCTCACGTCAACCCTTCAGACCATACTACTCATGGCGTCGCCTAAATGCTCTACTTACTGCGAAGGTGACGAGCTGCTGAAATATCACACACGAATACCCCTCAAAGGCACTTTCGCGACTTTTCAGGAGAACACGAGATAACGCGAGGAGTCAATGTACGCCACAAAGTATTCAATGCGCTGCGCAACCTGCCTGTGTGCACTATAGATACTTACGTAGTGACAGGTTATGTAGGAGCCTTTTACTCCTTTTGCGAGTTCTCTCGGACTGCGCCTGTTCAGAAAAGAAAGAAACGCAGCGTCGATCTCTATTCCTTTTGACTAGAGACAACAAGTACGGAAATGCCGGAAATCCGGTGAGTAGACGACGATTGATTTAAATTTATCAACGCTAATTAATTATTAAATATTCTGATTCTTACAGGACAAGAAGTTCTGCTGTTTTAATGTATCGAAAACAACAAAAGGATACGAAACAGCTAAATAAATAATGAGATCAATTTTTTTTAAGGAGTTACAGAACAATTGTAAGACACTAAAGAAAAATTACAAATGTAAACAAATATCAGTCATCTTCACTTTGTAATTAATATAATTATTTTAAAACCCGACACAAGAAATTTGATGAGTTTTGTACTACTTTGTAAAAATCACAATTTGAATGGTAAATTAATTGACTAAAATGACAGAAAAAACAACACCATAGACAATTTGATTGTGATTATTGTCTCTATGAATCTGGTTATAAAAGGTAAAGCAAGTAATACACCTCCCGATTCTATCCATTTGTCAGAAATCCTAAAAGTGGCTATACAACAATCTATCTTATCAGATTTATCGGATATTCTGAATAGATATCATTCGCTACACCCTCACCGATATGGCGATATGTGCTTCCTGTTATTGGACATTTATCAATAAATAATCTTGGCGAGATTTTGGCGAAAAATAATCCTTTGCGAAATAGTTGGCGGAAATAAATTAAATTTGACGATTTTCTGGCGGTAAGGGTAGTAAAAAACGGTGCAATCGAAGTTGCACAAATTACTAAGATTTAGTTTAAAGCAGTATTGCTAACACGGAGTTTTTAGATTATCGTCAAAATCTCTCTAATTTTAATATATCATATCGTCGGATTTAGTGCTCATTCAGTATTTTTTGTTACCGTTATTCAAATATTTGGCATCTCTTTTGTCCAAAAGATATGTTAAAGGTAAAGTTAATGGTGGTTCCGCCATTTTGACGCCAAAACTCGAACCAACAAATGGGAGTGGAAATAGGCTAGTTGACCCTTTTTGGAAAAAGGTTTTAAATGGTTAATAAATGTTCTATTAGACCGAAAAAAAATGTATTGTATTTTTTTAAACCTAGAAAGCTACAAATCTTTAATCTTGAAATAGACTTTTCATGGACATACAAAAACGCTGTCGGCCATTTTAGTCTATAGATTGTCTATGCTATGACGTGAACTGTGGTAAACAAAAACTCGTAAACACGTAGAAAATTACTTTTAACTGAATTTATAATAAAAAAAAACATGATTTCTAATAAATACCACAAAAAATAAAGTAATTATCATTACTGTATTGTACGAGAATATAAAAACACATCCTTGAAGACTCCAGGAAAGTTGTGGATTAAAGTGCCGAAAGAAATTAACCTACGCAACTTTATTACACTTATTCATATTTTGTATCAGTTTTATGTTTATTACTACATTGTAATACTAAATGCACTGTACTTACATAGATGCCTTGTCGTTTCTCTGCTCCGCAGAGCAGAAATCGGGGTTTAGTGCAACAAATTCACCAACCATCAATGCATCTATTCTTGGCAGATTTGTGCTTTCTGCTTTCACAAAGCCGGCATACATAATTTGTTTAGTCAAAAAAAACTAAGTTTACTGTTTTTTTCTTTCCTAAAGTTAAAAGTGTTTTAAGATAAATTTAGTCAGACGAAAGAATCCACCTACAGTAACACGCGAATGACATTTAGTTGTTTACCACAAGAGACGTCAAAATCATGGCGAATGTGGCGAACAGCGTTTTTAGTGTTTAAAAAATATAGACTAAAAAATATTTTTTTAAATTAAATTTCTACAGCAATCTTCTGCTTTTATGAAGTGAAATCGATATATTAAGATTCCTTAGACTAAACACTTTAAGAAATTAACATTTATTTAATACAATTCGACATGAGTAAACTAGCCTATTCACTAAGACACAAGGGAACCTATAATAATGTTGCAGAAATAAAACACTGAACACCATATATTTTTATTATTCTTTAATGGCAATTCTTTCATTCTTCAGAAGTTAGTTTTTTCAAAAACTAAGTTTGATCGTTGCCGGCTCGCATATGCTACAAAAAGGCTGCCATTTTATTGAAGGCAATAAGATATAGGTGTGTTTAAAATGCCAGTGTTTTTATTTTGATTGTAATACGAATCTGATGGGTTGCTAAGCAATTGTGTCCATTCTAGCATGATTCTCTAAACCTAAACTTAAATTTGATAGCAGTATATCCTTGTCATTCTCAATATAGAATGAAAAGGAGAGACTGGTATTAAATTTAGTTTTAAGTTTAGAGAATCACGCCAGAATTGGCACCACTGATACATTGGTGTCGATTCTGGCATGATTTTCTAAACCTAATTGACATAAACTTTATAACAGCGTATCCTTGTCATTATAGAATGACAAGGAGACACTGATGTCGATTCTGGAATGATTCTCAAAAGCTAAACTTAAATTTGACAACAGTCTATCTTTGTCATTCTCTATACAGAATGAAAAGGACAGACTGATGTTTTTTTTTTTATAAATAAGTCCGACAAATGACTCCACCCCACCTGATGTTAAGTGAAGGTGAAGTCCAGACGCGAAGATAGCTGAAACAGCAGTTCTACCTGCCACACCAGCCATCCTTACCCTGCCGGCCTGCATGTTGCTTCTTCACGTTTTAAGTTTAGATAATCCTGCCAGAGTCGACACCATTGATGTTAAATTTAGTTTTAAGTTTAGAGAGTCATGCCAGAATCCACAGCTGTGGGTATAAAATAATGTACCCTTTAATATGTAATAATTCTTCTACTGCGAACTAATACTAGGTACCATTTATTATGGTTAGAGATATTTTTGTAGGTCGTGTCACGTCGTGGAACGTTACAAAAATACGGAAACGTCAAATATTTTAACCACAGACTACAGCAGAGGTGTGATTTGACATTTGAATCTAACCTTCAAACTGAAAAAATAAATAATGCACGTCTAAAAATATTAACATTATAGTATTGCACATAATACGAAGTTGGCCTTTATATTTTTAACAATCCAGCTTAAAATCAGATGAGAATATAGTGTTATCTATTCGATAGCTATGGCAAATTCTTTATTATCAAAAGTAAGTGGTTCTCCGCTTTTCGTATTGTTTTTCCTTAAAATTATGTTTAAATGGGCCTCCTCTAGGGATTTCGAGAGCTTTGCCCAGCAATGGACGTCGATCAGCTGATGATGATTTAAACATTATGTGGACTTATTATATACATTAGATTTACATTACCTGTCATAACATTCTTTTAATAATCCTAAACTTCATCGGCATTAGTACCAATGTCTAGTAACAAAAGTACTTATTACTAAGTACATTTCTGAGTTCAATTCAGCCTTCCCTAACTTGTGAATCTCATATATGTAAATCTGTTTAATTTTAACATTATAATTCTTTCAGTTTGGCTCATTGAAGTTGGCCCCTATTGGTGTGTACACACAAGCTTCCCGTAGCACCACAACTAAACATTATATCCCCAAATTCAAGAAACATAGGGCAATGAAAGTTTTTAAGTTTCCACTGCCAAATTTTAATGAAGATTTTGATTCAATGTCGCGAGAGAAGATGAGGCAGAAGATGAAGGAAAAAGGTGTATTGCCACCAAGACCTTGGGTGGAGAGACCGTTTTACCTTTCAGCCACAGGTGAAAATTTTAGACATTGTACTAGTTTTTAATAAGTTGCAGTTTTCTATGCCTGAGCGCTTCACTAGTCTTAACAGTAACTAAACATTGATAAGCGATTCAAACTACAAAGAAAGTTGTTTAATTGCACAAATTGCATCTTTTTTTTTTGCCATACTGGCATTATATTTTACTTTTTGTAGGTCCTTAAGTTGAACAAGGATTATTAAAACTGGTAGGCCATATACATACAGTGTTAATTCCATGTAACATCACTCGATTTAACAACAAACTCCCTAAAGTGTTGAAATCACTCGTCTTTGTTTGTAATTCATACAATGATAAACTCCATATAGCATTACACCCATTTAATACCGACAACAGTTAAGTAATAAAAAGTACCTTTTAAGTTGCCAAAATTAGTTAAAATTGCGCACCTGTGTACATTCTTTTGTCGCTTTATTATCCTAGCCCTTAATAAATTCAACTGCCGGCATCATGTAAACCATGAGAACAACTCCATCGGCTGCTTTAGAGTACCTCATGAATTTAAGACCATTGGACCTGGTCATACAAGAAGAGGCGAAAGCAGCAGCCTTGAGACTAAAATCTCTAGGATTATGGAGATTAAATACTGTAACAACACACTCCAATATTCTACAAAAGTGCACAAAGGAGATTCCACTCCTGGAGGCACCTATGGATAGAGTATTGAGTCAACACGTTTTTGATCGAAGATACAACATCCAACTTACCGCGGAAAAGGCAGATTATTCTGGCGCCGGGGAAGTTAGGATATACACGGATGGCTCCAAAACCAACAGTGGTACTGGAGCCGGTGTCTTCTCAAACGACCTGAATATAAAAATATCCACAACCTTAGGCAAACAAAGCACAATCTTCCAGGCGGAATGTATTGGCATTACCAGAGCGGCACAGGCGGTTGCAGCCAGAGACATCAGAGAGTATAACATCAAGATCATCTCTGACAGTGCATCCGTGCATCAAGCCCTACGTAGCAACACAATAAACTCTGTCCTAGTAATGGAGTGCCACAAGGCACTTCAATCCATTGCGGTTAGCAACACGGTAACTCTGCAATGGATAAAAGGACACAGCAGCTCAATCGGAAATGACGCAGCAGACGAGTTGGCCAAGAGGGGAGCAGACACAAAAGTGTACGGTCCGGAACCTTTGCTGCCCATACCTCAGGCCCAAATTAAAATGTGGCTGCGTGAAATAACTCAAAAATCACACTTGATGGGGTGGAAAATAGGTGAAGGATGCCGGCAAACGAAAAACGCGGTTCCGGCGGTAAATAAAAGTTTTGCCCGCACCCTTACCAGACTAAATAGGGACAAACTTCGCAGGATTATAGGATCCCTGACTGGCCATTGTCCCCTAAACAAACACCTATATACAATAGGAGTAACGGACAGCCCCCTGTGCAGAGGATGCATGGAGGCGGAAGAAACGCCACAGCATGTCATCATGGAATGCAGGAGTGTGGCCGACCAACGGGCACGACTTCTCCAGTCACCAGAATCGTTTCCGGAAGCTTGCAGCAGCCTACCAAGGTTGCTTTCCTTCTGGACCGATTTAGGCTGGCTGGAGTAAACGGGAATGTTTTTGAGACATGCACAATGGTCCAATAATTAGGACTAAGTGCGGAAACCGCCCTGAAGAACTAACTAACTAAAATCATGTAAACCAAACTTTCTAAGAAATTCGTTCTTTTGTTGACAAATTGGGATTGCACGTGTGTACTGTTGTTGACCATGACTAAAAAAATATAATACAACAAAATTACTGGTGCAGCAAAAGACTTCAGACAAACAACAGAATAGTTTTCAAATAATATTTTTTTTTATGTATATAACTAGAAACTTGAAATAAACTTTTTCTTTTCATAATTCTGACTTTTCTTCTTTCCATTTAACGACAACTCTCTATAACGCCATAAAATGTACAGTCCCTTTAGTGTTGTTAAATAAAGTTTACACTGTATTATAGTTGCTCCCCCTTCCCCATAGACCATCAGCTGGGGACGCCGTTGCTGCAGACAAGACAAATATAAAAATTTACACAACAAGGCAGTTAGCTGTCAGCTCCTACTCCCAGTAATTTTCATATACATATTAAATAAATATTATGTAATACATAGTAATAAATATTAACTGTGATGCATATTATTACAGGAGGTGTCTTTGAACCGTACGTCCCTCCAGAAGGAGACGGCAAAGCATCCATAGTGTCTGCCACTCGCGCCAAGCAAACTGTTGAATTCCTGGGAAAGAAATCCAAATCTATGATGGCAATGCGCAAGATCAAATCGTTTGAAGAGGACTTTGATTCCAAAGAGTTTCTTCCTTTAGCGCAGGATATTTACGTGAAAGCGCATGACTGTTTAGCTAACAAGGACCGACTGGGGTTGCGTACTTATGTTACGGAGAAGGCGTACCCTGAGTTCAGGTACAACACGCAACTGAAGACGATCCACTGGCGGTTTCTGGACTCGCTGGAGCCTCCGCGCGTAGTGCACGCTAGATATACTGACGTCGTTTCTAAAGAAAATATCTTTGCACAGGTAAGATTTGATATTACTCAACTACATGTTTTTAGTGTCATGTTTCTCCCAAACTTCGGGTTTCTTTGGTACCAAATGCTTTAAAATTAGTTTGAGTAATGAATTAGCGGGCTGTATGTCTATAGTCGCTAGTAGATAGCTTGACTTGCGATAATTGGACTCGCTAAAAGAGGAGGACACAGAAAACAATATATTTGTATGTGCAGCTGAGGGAGAGTAGGTACTTAATTTAAAGAATAAACATTGATTTAAGTGCATTTGAGCAAAACTTCGGGTGCGGGAAATGCATAGTCTAAAAAGCATTTATTTATTAGCAACTAACATTGCGTTTATCATACATAGATACGTATTCTATATAGGGTGTTTACTTGTGAAAACAACAGTTATAAGTGTTAACGTCATTCATAATTATGATTTAACAAATATACATTTAAGGATTAAATTTTAACTCATAATATTACATATCAAATGCAATGAAATATTGTTAATTTGTGTATTATTATTTTATCTGTTGTGATAACTTCGCTTAATGTTTCTGTTAAAAGCGTATACATGTTATGAATAATGGATATTATCATCAACCTCTACTGTTGGGGCACAGGTCTTTCCTACAGATGGCAAATTAAGATTGGGCCATGACCAACCATGCGGGCCCAGTACGGATCAGTGAATGCTAACGCCTGCAGATGTAGCCGGGACCAACTTCTTAAAGTGCATCCTGAAGCACGGAGGAGCTCGAGATAGTAACTTTTTGGTCACCCATCCAATGACCGGCTATTGCGAAACTTAACGCGCTAACCACCTGCGCCATCGAGCTCTTCCTAAACCTATTTGACGGTAAATAATGTATTTCCAAAAGAAGGTCCCCATGTTTCAATTAATATATGTTTAAATAACCATGACTCCCCCACCATTATCACAAAAATGTTCCCATCAATACTCGACGGAACCCTTTAGGTTTGAAGCCCTACTTTTGGGGTCATCAATGACCGTTAATTTATGTTTTATGTTTTTTGACTCCTCCCCGGTGCTTGCCATTTATTTTTTTGCTATCTTGCAGAATATATTTATTTTAGAAAGCAGTTCCGAAACCCTGCTAGCAAAAGAAATTATAACCCATACTGACTTATTAAAAAACGTAGACTAAAGTTAAACCTGGACCAAAACGGATGTTGTCACTTTTATTTGCTAAAAAGAAGAGGTTATTTATTATTACATTAGGTTTAAACCAAGACTTTGAAACAAGGACTTCAGTTCGCGTTTAATTTAAAAGTATTAGATTGAATACTAATATACTAATAATAAACTCAAGAGAGGCTTTCTATCTCCTTCTTTCGTTTTGTTTCGCCGGTTCTTCTCAGGAAGGTCTCCCAATTTTGGAACCGGTGGTAGTTTACGGTAGTTAGGGTCAAATAAATAAACTCAAAATTACAAACAAGAATTTTAAATAAAATACTTTATTAAGTAAATTAAATAATAAATTCATACATAGACAATAAAATTTTAAAAATCTTCCAATGAAATAACCGAACGCTCAATACGTCTTTCGAAGGTAGCTCGACAATTTTAAATAAAAAATCATTATTCTGACGATGCAGACCTGAAAAGGCTGCGAAACGTCAATAAATAAATAAAGTTTCGTGCATTAACCCGTAAAAACGAGTTTTATTTAATGAGTGATGTGCGTGAAAACCGAAGAAACAAATAGTATTAGATTGATTAATGTGACGACGAAACGTAGAATCCCCCCCAATGCTTGTCACTAGTATGTGACGTACTATATTGAACATGGAGGTTAGAGATCAGGAGAACGATCGCTGAAAATAGTGTCCCAGAAATATGGACAAAATAAGTGAGGCGCTGCGATCGCTAAGTTGTCTCAATAAAAGCGGGCTTTGAAATGACCAATGCCGCGAAGAAAATTTGTATTGTACAATATTCAACTAACTTGATCTACTGGTACTCATAAACAGCTAACTTCACAGATACTACTTACCGACGGCAGCGCTGCTGTTGGCTGAAAAATGAACTATAAATTCTACAAATTTTCAGGGCACGCGGGCTAATGCTTTAGTACGTAGCGATCGTTCTCCTTATTTTATTTTATTTAATTATGGTACACCAACAAAATACATACATTACATAATTTTAACAACCTTATTATTGAAAATACTTTGTATGATTTAAATAAAAGGTATACACAGTAATTCCAATTAACTTTATAACAAATGCAATCTCTTGAATTACATCCTATAAATTACAAACACAACCAGTGTGTCAGGCCAGCAAGCACACAGCGAGTCAACACTCACAAGTAATAACTTGTTAAACTTAATAGGATATATCGTGCAGCACCAGCGTCTTGCACTTGATCGGTGAATTGTAAGTGTCAACCCGTCACGACTCCGACCACTGAGCCAAAATATTTACTACATTTTTTTTAAATGTGTGAAAGCTATTGCCAAAAATGTCCAGATTATTGCCATAAACATTGATAATTTCGTTATATTTTATACATATGCGATTAGCTGGGGAACTCTTGCCAAGATTGGTTCGACATCGATGAATATAAAATAAATCCCTACAAACGTAACGGGAATTAGGTCGAGGGACTCTGAACGTAAAATTTTCTATCGAGGACTCTGACTCAACTAAACCATTTAAAAGTTTATGTAAAAAAATGGTTGCCTGTAAAGTCGGTTTTACGGGCGAAGATTTTACGTGGCAACGTCTTTTTCTCGGTAGAATATTTATTGATATGAATATAATTAAATTGCACAATAGGAACAAGGAATTGAATGAAAATAAGAATTGCACAAATTTTAACTATAGAAATATATTTTGTTTACTAAAACATTGTACATGTAAACTTAAACTCATCGTAACGTTACCGAGCGTTACACTTTTTCATAAGTGACTCCCAGCCGCAACCTAATTTAAGACGTTGTCACGTCAAAAGCATAAGTCATGAAGTATGCGGCGATTCTTTAGTTTCAAAATATTGAAAAAGCCTCCTTCCTTCTCTCTAACTTCCATGATATTGAAGATCGCTTGCGTCTTGATAGTGTTTCTCATTATTATTTCCCTTCCCACAGCTAACAGTCCGTTTCCACACGCGCCAACAGCTCGCCGTGTACGACCGCTTCGGTCGCTTAATCCACGGCAGTGAGATCCTTGCTAAGGACGTGCTCGAGTACGTTGTATTCGAGAAACATCTGTCCAATATGTACGGCACTTGGCGGATCCACGACAAAATAATACCCGACTGGGCTCCACCTAGAGAACCTTCCAAGCTGACCCTCGTGAAGCCAGAGCCAGAACCAGAGCCAGAGCCGCAATCAGAGGAGGCGGATACGCCCGCCATAGCTGATAAATAGATGTATATTTCTTAGTTACATTGTATATTTTATAATACATTAGGAATTAAATAGATTGTTTTCAGTTTTGTGGTTTCTTACTCTCTTTTTTTTCTTTTTTTTTTTAAACACACTAATTATCCTAGCCCCAAAGTAAGCACTGTAAGGCTTGTGTTATAGGATGCTAGGGTAACTGTACATATATAAGAATATTTATATAGAAATACATGTTAAATATCCATGACTGGAGTACAAATGCTCGTATTCAGCACACAAACATCTGCCCCCACCGGGATTCGAACCCGGGACCTCTCCAGTCAGCGACAGTATGAAACCCGGCGTACAAACCACTCGGCCACGGAGGTCATCAATTTGAAACGATGTCTTAGCTCTCAAACCCATTAGCGGTTGTCCGCCCGTGGTAATAAACCGCGATGAAACCGCGACAAGCTGTTGGGCAGCTAGAAGGCGTGTTGGTATATAAACAGAATTAGCACGGTCGAGTTGAGGTAGCTTGTGCAATGATAATAAATACCCTAGATGCAACAACACGAACAAAATCGGGGTAGAAATCTATACTGTTAAATAACCGACCATGCATTTGAATTTCATAAATATTTTCTATTAAATCAATGAATAGTAAGAATTACAACAAAATTTGCTTCAAATGCGTTAAATCAACAAACATTGAATAGACACCTGTCGAAAAAACGACACTGGTGTCGATTCTGGCATGATTCTCTAAAGCTAAACTTAAATTTGACAACAGTGTATCCTTGTCATTCTCTATATAAAATAAAAGGACAGACTGATATTAAATTTAGTTTTTAGTTTAGATAATGATGCCAGAATTGACACCACTGGATGTCTATAAGTATACTTTTCGCAATTTTCACGGAACTCGTCGTGTCTGTGGTCCGCGCGTGACTGAACCAAGAAGTGCTTGTGCAGTGGCGGATTTACCCTAAGGCCCGGTAGGCCCGGGCCTAGGGCGGCTATATCTGGGGCGGCCCCAATCAACACCCTAATCTGACAAAATTAAGCGCGTCAGAAAAAACTGATAGAATATAGCTAAAGAAAAGCATTGCAAATAATTTATTCTACTGACTTAGAAGATGATTTTCCAGAAAATTTCTCCATTTTCGTGCTCACTGCACCATAAAAAATGAAGATCGGATGAGTGCTGTCAGTTAGTTGAAATGGTTACGAACTGAAGGTCTTCAATGCATTTACCCAACGTGGATATTGCTCTTTGTATGTGTGTTTGTACTCCCGCCAATAACTGCTCTGGAAAACCATTGTTTTCTTGTTTACGATTCGTAAAAAAAAAATGAGAAGTTATACTTCTTTAGCATCATTAAAAATATTTTTTAATTGCATGCAAATAATTAATAATTACAATAAAATAATAAAAGGATTGGAAAAGGATAGTTAACACAGTCAATTAAGTTCAGTTTAAAACAATATACTGATGGTTTTTCTCATTTAATCTAAGTAAATAAGTTTTGTAACACCATAGTATTAAATATCATCACGCCGCCCGTTACTAGATGGCGCTGTACGCATGTGAATCGCGCTATCCTATACCGACACCGATTGTATGGCACATCATAGGATCAAATATCATCACGCCGACCGCTACTAGATGGCGCTGTACGCATGTGAATCGTGCTATACTATACTGACACCACTTGTATAAGGTGTTCTTGGGAAATTGACCAAGTCATCGCTTCGTAGGTAGGGCCTATTGTCTTGCACGCTATACGCTTCCACCACGTGGGACGTCTTAGTGTCTTGATAATAGTATACATGTACTTCCACCCTTGTGGGATACAGTAATACCATTTCTCCTACAAATATTGAATAGTAATCGCAATATAAGTATTATCTACCTACGCCTATCTTTATTTGACGTCAGTCTTCTCACACTCCCCCTTCGCCCTCCCGCACATTCTTACAGTTTTATTAAATAATAAATATGAAAACAGAGATCAGAGGCGACGAGCGTCCCAACATGTGCGACTAAGAGATCCTATTACTATTTTGTTGGAAGCTTTTTTCGAGACTTACGAGTAATGTGCGATTTAGCGGCCGACTTCATGGTGTTACAGTGTTGCGCGCGCATCTTAAAATTTCACTCTCATCATTTTTTCATAACGCGCCCGCGGCTAACTTCATTATGTTAATTTTGTGTTACAGTGATGCGCGCGCATCTTAAAATTTCACTCTCAAAATTTTTTTCATAACGCGGCTAAGGAAGTATAACTTCAAAAATTGTTTACGACAACAATGATGGACCAAAGGTTAAACGATCTGGCTTTGCTTAACATAGAAGCTGATTTTTAGGAAATTGGATTGCGAAAATTTAATTATTGATTTTGCTGCACTAAAGTGCTGGCGAGTTTTGTAACACATTGTATAACATTTATTATATCATATCTTGTACTCTTTAGCTTTTAGTTAATAAATTAAAACCTTTTAAATGTATTATTTAAATATGCAATTAGGGGAAGGGGGGGCATGATGGGGTAGCTAGGGGAAATAACAAAATTACAGTACAATCACTATGTTTGTTACTCTCATTAATTTATGGCACGTTAAGTCATTAATCTAACTATGATTTGGTACAATCTTTGGAGAATCAACGTATCACATATTTTTATAATTAATAGGAACATTATGAAAAACCATCTTGCCCCATACTATGGGGCATGGTGGGGAAGACTATTCGTTCTCACAAAACAAGCAAATGTGTATTTCTTCCAGATCTTCATCGTCCGCGCCAGCACAGGCGTTGTGATATGATATGCTAGACGTCTCAGTTCGGTAGTTGTTAGTCTAAAAAGACGCTTTTCCATATATTTCAGATATGCTTCTATTTCACCTTCTTCCTTAGATGTAAATATAGATATTTTCGGGCCTAAGGGTAAATCAATAGTAACTTCACCCCCTTCCTTCATTTTCTTAACATATCGCTCTAAAGTAGTCTGAGGTACTGCGTATGCTTACGTAAGCAGCTTTTTTATATCCCATCTCTTTGCTCAAAACTTTATCTACACCTATTTTCATAGAATCTATCGACCACTCCCCTCTTTTGGTTTTTTTCTTATAAGTACGTACCCTGATTTTACCTAAAAAAGAATAAATTATGTTATTTATTAAGAAACTTAAATGAACCTAAACCCACAGCCCCAATGCCACATCATACCCCACACCAAATACCCCATCTTGCCTCATAAGGCCTCTCTGAACAGAAAAATATATATCAAATAAAATGTTTAACGGATTCCTACAAACAACATACCATATCAAAATACATAACACTAGTAACCAAAAATCAAAAAGACATAAATGGGGTGATCATAATTACCTTAAAAAAATTATGTTTCAACTTACAAAAAATTAGATCGACGAAACGCTAAAACAGTTTTCCGTTTGTTAACAAAAGACGCGTGCATTACCGTTCACAGTTTCTCTCGCACTAACCGTTGGTTGAATGAGGCTTCCTATTGGCTTATTGTTTTATATTCACAGATATCTAGTTTCTTCTATGTGTACAGTACCCCATCTTACCTCGCTACCCCATCATGCCCCCCCTTCCCCTATTCTTGTTACCTCGTATTTTTTTAGAAATTAGCAGCTATTATTATTTTTCTAGTAAACTTATAATTACTTTTCCACACTATCCACCCGCACTTGCGATAACAAGTAGCTTCGTACAAATTAATTGTGTTTAATTAGATAATTAAATATTTAACTCGCAATTAAGTGTGAAAAGTTGATAACACTCGTGTATAAGTTATCATAATCAAGTATGCCAAGTTGGCAGAGTATGTTAGAGCAAATAACTAGTTGTAACAACTTATGTATCTTATTATTAAGAAATAAAACTATTGTTTTTTCCTAAATTTCTAAATCTATTTAGATAAAAGTTGGCAATAAAGTAATTTCATTATGTAGTCTATGGTGGATGCCGAGGAAGGGGCGACTGATGGCTTGGGGCCTAGGGCGGTCGAGACTGCAAATCCGCCACTGAGTGCTTGAGCAGTGTTCAAGCTCTTTTTGATTGGGACACATTTTGAGCTCACGTGGTGTATCAAGGGTATTTAATATCGTTTAGCTTATGGTTTGTATAATCTACTACTAATGATGAAAACAAGAAAGAAAAATTAACAATAATTCTGGTGTACCAATTTTCTGATAGTAAACATAAAACAAAAACAGGAAGCTACGAATTAAAATACCTATTATTACCGATCAGAAACGAAAATCTATTTAATGTTTCAATCTTGACCCCGTCCGACTTCTAAATCATGAACCAGATATTATTTTCTACTTTTTACTTCCATTTTCGATTTTGACGTCGGTTTTATTTTTTTATCAATAAAAAATATTCATCCATTTTAGTGAAAATTACATAGTCCAAGTAAACAATAACACAATTGATAGAGAAATCGGTGAACATGAATAAAAAACATCGTGCGTGCCTTTGAAATTTGAAGGTTTCCCTCGATTTCCCCGGATTCCACCAACAGATCCTGACTTGGTTTCAAAGGGACAACCTCGGAAGTTCACTTTTTCGAATAAAAAAAGACTTTTGGAAATCGGTCCACAATTGACGGAGAAATCGGTGAATATACATAATATACAGGGCGTCCCACGGCTACCTCACACGCAGGGAAAGTATATTAAATATTACAGATAGGATATTTTACTGAAAGAAGACATCATTTCATTTTTAATAACAAATAGAACTGCATTTACGGATTTTTTAAAAATTGACTGCTACAACTGGGAATCAAACTCGTGAAATTTCGAAAAATAAAACACGACATATTTTATGATAACCATCGAAAGGGTTTATCATAAAAAATATTTTTTACTAAATATCATAGCATTTTAAATGAAAGGAATGTCTTATTACGTGATAAAAAGAATAAAGTGATATACAAACTGTAGTACGTATGCATTTCTTTTTAAATTCAGTTACAATGCGATTGGCCGCAAAAATAATAATTTTAAAATACATTTTCAAGCGTCTTTACCCCTAGCACGAACCATTATCGAATTCGAATAGTTTGCGAGTGTGAAATATCAATGTCAAATTTT